ATGTTGAAATGTCGCACACACAAGCGATTGAAATGATAAGAAAAAGTTGTCGGGGGTGTTCCACAATAACGTATTTATACGACAGCGGACAGAACCAGTGCCCTGCTTGAGGGAAAAAAGCCGTGACCACTCATTGAGCAGCTTTTTCTGTGAATATTTTTACATATTTAAATAGATGTAGCCGGGCTGTGACGACTCAGGAGTCAGGACCAATGGCCAAAGGCGTACAGACTGTACAGGACATACACTGTCACACTGTCAAAGAGTCATGACACTCTCTCGGAGAAGAAGACTGAAGGACATACATATTTACTGTACGTAATTCACGCCTCACAGGCTCACGGCCCTCTGGAAATTGTCGGAATTTGTTTTTATTAATAAAATATTATATATACATATATATATATAAATATATATTATATGTATATTTATATAAAAGCAATTCTCTCTGACACAAAATTGCCATTTGCCCCGAATTGCCGTCGGCCGCAACACTATCCGGAGAGGGCTGTGTGTAATTTATCATGCTTACTTTTAAAACTATATAACAAGAGACCTAAAAACACGATACTGAAGGAGAGTGTATGAATATACATTTTGAATAGATTTGTGTTATATCTAATATTATGTATATGACTAGAGATGATATTGCACGGAAACGAATCCCACCAGCGTACAACCCGTTTCAACAATGTTATTGTGCATTTCTATAATCTCTTACACATAATACTGTGCAGCGTGTCAACCAGTTGTATAGCCAACCCCACAGTTTTAAATAAAGATTTCTACTCTGGAGATGCGGTGCTCAGACTTTTAATGCACAACGAGAATATCTTTGAAGGCACCACGTTCGCTCACAAAGTAGCTGAAACACCGTTCCGATCGGTCGGTATGTATTACTTGTATCTGTATTGATTTATACACTGTCCGAAAATAAAAACGTGGTTGTGATGTGTGAGTGCATAGTCATACACTACGCGGATATGACCGTTTACAATAGAAGGACTTTCGGTGGTAGATGTAGTCACTACACTATACTGGAACACGTGTTTATATAATAGAAATATGCAACATCCCACAAGTCATATACAAGTTTAAAAATTTATTCATATTTGCTTATCTGTGAAGGGATTGTACGCGTTAACGCCGACATACGAGGGCGCCTAATCGACTTGAAATATATCAGGAAAGCAAACATGTACTAAACATGTCTTAAGATCCTGCCAACCCTTTTGTCGAGGATCACAGGTTCATAGTTTGAACTGTGAGTACTTGAACTCTGGAATTAGGTCAGCGAACATACCGCGCGCGTACGTAGGCGCCCAGGGGCTGCTGTATTCCAGGTGGCATAGAAACAGATCTGATACAGAGTGGAGTGACATCCGGTATTGGGCGCTTGTACTACATACTGTGTGCTACATCATCTGTACTGTTTAGTTATAGAGAAATATAGATTTACTATCTATACATTCGCTCATACTCAGGGACAATTGCAAGCTCGCTATGTACCTGATAATCCGTGGTTTCAATTCTTACCTGCCATTACCGTTCCTTCTCCTGACACAATGCCAGGTGTTGAGATGGGTTTGAGGCAAGCCCTGACAACCGGCACAATAAACCATCTGTTCGGTACGAAGACAGCATCATTACCGCCCTTTGGTAAATGTCATCTATCCGAGCAAACTATCCTGAACGAACTCGCGAGCACCGAATTGAATGAGTACTTTGAGCATCTGTTCCAGTTGGTAACTGACTATAAGGGTCCTGGGTGTGGGAATGATACAGATCACTCGACCTGTTTGAGGCTATCTATTAAACTGTCACGGTATGCTATATGCAACTTTGCTATTCGTATGCGTGGTGTTTATAGATATGTAATTTTGTGATAGGAGTGTAATTGTCTGCTCTCTTGTCAGCTTATGCTGTCGCTATGTGCTCGTTGATCTCTACCAGCATAAACACACCACAAATCGGCTCTTCTAGTCTGTAGCCATCTCCAAGACTTGTTACTCATAGCCGTGTGGGTTCCACCAGAACGCAGCCTCGTATTCGCGCTATATAACGTGCTGCACATGGTCCTGGGATATGCGTTAGATCTAATAAGACATTGTCATAGTCCCTTGCGGCAGGGGGCAAGAAGTGATGAATACGTACACCACAACTGCAACGGAAATGTTATGCATAACCAGCTGCAATTACAGACGACTTATCGCGGAAGATGAGGCTACACTGTATAGACATGCGCAAACACACGCACACACACACAACCACCCACCCTTCCACCCACCTACACCTACACACCCACACACCCACGAATATATATATATATATATATATATAATAATATAATATATAGTAGGAATAT